TAATTGGTCGAGTGGAGGTGATTGGCAGTAGGCGGTCTCTCAAGTACCCAGGTCCAATACCATGAAGGGCTTTGTAGGTGACAACTAGCACCACATATATCGTCATTATACTTTAAAACCCCCGCCCTGCCTAATTTTGGGCAAGATGTAGACCTGGTTACAATTCCCAGCTATTCTCATCATTATCTTTATATAATTATACATCCTTACATGTCCCCAAGTTGTGATTCTGTCTTTAAATCTCATAGTTGCCACTGTAGGTATATTTCATGTTCCCTCTTCATTTTTCCATATACAATTGCTTTAATCTATTATATAGAATAACAAGTGGTAAACATCTCATTTTATTCATAGGTCCATGTTTCATATATCTTAACCCATGCTTATTTGTCCTCCCATTGTCATAATTCAATCAATTCACAACTCAGTTTAATTATCATGTATAAAAGTGGATCGCAAACCTCTGCTTTACAACCTCCCCATATCAGTTTCATATTTGTCCATATTCCATATATTTTAATCTTTATTTAGCTATCTTTCCATTATCATATTCAACCAGTTAGCAACTGCATTTTATTGTCATATTTAGAAATAAAGCCCTTACCTTAGCTTACATTTTCCCATGTAACATTTTCTAGTTGTCTGATCTTTTTCCTAGTCTTTTGTCCCACTTCTCTGTTCCTGTCTTTTCCCTTTTCTTTGCCTAAACCCAGTTTAAGTTTATTAAAATACATATGCAGTCCCCTAGAGCCACTGCCAAAGTTCGACAGAATAGAATTCTTCTATGAATTATAAAATTACCCCAAATTTCTAGAAAGGAACCTATGCCACCAGCCAGTCAATGAAACTTAATATGTAATCCCAATACAGTTAGTAATGAGGAAGCCCATTGAATACACTGGGATTTTTCCCTAATTAAGTATATGCCATAAAATAAATATTCAATACCAGGAATTCCTAATCATGCCCGGAGATATATAAAAGCAAAATACACTATTTTTTATCACTGACAACTGAGCCAAAAATATAGGAAATAGTTAACTTTTTTATAGCTAGAAATCAGAGTTTAAGATGTACTCTAATTCCATAGAAGAAATTCTTTGCTTTCAGTGCAACCTATGGACACGTATGAATTTACAAAAAGCATAAACATTTTTTGATCCTACAAGAAGTCCTCATTTAACAACCACTCATTGAGTGACCATTGAAACTTGCAAACCAAACACACTCTTTTGGTCAGATAATCCTGAAATGTAGCTGATGAGATCCACAGATATTCCAGTTAGAAGCCTATGTACTATGTAAATATGTTGTCAATGTATGAGCTGTTGTGGAAATTTATTATGAAGTTTTTAATGATTTTTTCTTAGTCTTATGGACTTGTTTGGGGAAAGGGTACATAGCTATGATATAATAGGCAAGATGATTAGATTTGCCATTATGAAAACAGGATCGCTTGAGAAACAGTGTACAAAGACTCCAAACTTTTAAAAAACTTTTGAAAGATTGGAGTTGATTATGTATAGTGCATATATACATGCCCAGACTTTCCTGAAAAGTATATTTGAATTGTTTATTTTAGAGAAACATATTTCAATTCACCGGACACTTGATGATTTAGAAAAACTGGCTGATTTACAGGAAGGCTGCCTAATTTCCTCTGATTCCAAGAGTGAAGACCAACAACTGGCAGGTATTTAAAATATTTCCAGAAGAAACAATAAATGATGGAAATACAATGCTTGTGGCATTCAGTTGTTGGATAAGTACTTTGCTTGGTCGCTGTGGAAAACTGAGATAATCTGATGAAACTATCTTCTTAAAATAGGAACCAAGTAAGGAATCGTGCATCAGTGATGGTTATGAGTCTAGGCAATATGTGTAAAGAATTACCAAAAGTAGTAGTGAATAAAAGATTTTTAAGAAAAAAAAATCCAGAAGTATTGTTTTACTTATTTAGGGCTGTACTTGCAGTTCTATCCTTGTTGTTAGGTCCAAGTAAGAAGATGCAATAGAATTAATTTCACAGAGGCTTGGGAGCAAAATCATCCCTAATGGATGGAAAGTATGGAAAGGAATAAAGAAAATGATGTGCTACTTTTTTCTAGTAACCTTATCGTAATCATATGAAAAAAACCAAAAGATTTCTGTCTTGGATTGCAGATATTTCAACGCTAGTTCAAATAAACCTTAAACCATGGCTTTTAAAGCAAATAAGTTTCTTAGTTTTTGAGTTGAGATGCAAATACTTCTGTATATTGAAAAAAAAAACTTCAATACTGAAAGATTGGGTTATTGCATATTTTCTTATTTTTGGTTTAATTTAAAATATCAGCTGACAAGAGGTCCTGCCCATTATGTCCTGAAGAGAGATTCAAAGCTTGCAATAGTCACAAACTCCGTCGCCACCTTCAGAACCTTCATTGGAAAGTATCTGTTGAATTTGAAGGTAAACGTAGCTAAAACACCATTATTAATGCTAATGCAGTTAGATGACAACTGTTACTTTCTCTCTGTAATTAATGTTGTAACTAAACATCATGATTACAGAGGCATTCTTTAATTCTTAATTTTATCTTATCATATCTTATGCTGGTTTCACATGTCCATATACCTTTTTATTTTTCTTAGACAACATGTGAAGTAAAATGTTAGAACATTTACTGAATACTATAGCAGTATATAAATCAAACCCTAATTCCAATCAGAATTGTAGTTTGTCCTTATACATAAATATCTTTAATGTTTTGATTTTTTTAAATTAAGACCGCTGGCTTTAATTACTAATTTATTTTAATTGTTAATCTATTAATCTTGAGTTTTCTACATTTGTCTTACTAGAATGAGATAAAAAGAAAGCCCTATTTGAGCTGTCTTTTTTTCCCCTCCTACCCCATCAACTATGTTGTCTAAAAAAAAGTATGAGCTCTTCCCCACATCCTAAAAGAACTTTGCATCATTTCCAACTACTTATGGCTGGAAAGGTTTTTTTTTCTTTAGAACACTTGATTGAACAATAGAGATATTGATGAAGTCTTTAATTGCATTGATGTTATTTATGAGAAGAACTTTGTGTTAAAATAGGCCTCTCCCACTCATCAGCTTTATATAATTAGGCACTTGCTTTAAAAATATGGATGAACAATCCTTGGAGACTATTTGAAGCTATCGCCCTCCTCTTCCCCCATCTCATATTATGAAGTTTACATCACTGGTGGTGGTTACATTTTATTTCAAGCAGTTAAAATTAAACAGTTTGACAAGATAGAACTTCAGAACACGAATGAATTCACTGTTGAAAACTGAGTAATCATTTAGAGGTGTCCAATGTCTTTTTTTAATTTCAGGCTACAGAATGTGCATCTGTGACTTGCCATGCCGGCCTGTGAAACCAAATGTTGTAGGAGACCAGGTAACCGCTACTCAGCTATGTGGATTGTTGCTGTGATCAGTTCCATTTTAGTTATTTATGAATTACATTCATCTCAATTTTGAACTTGAGTTCTCTAGTAAACGGAGGGGGGGGGGGAATAAGCTTTCCTTTTAGACAATGTATTTCTCACCTATATATATTCCGTTCACTATAAAGAATGTCCACTTTACAATATAAACTTTTTACCTCAGTTTTGTATGCCTTCATGCACAATAGTTAATGTAAGAAAAGTGGAAGTACATTATTAAGTTTCTCATATCTTTTTTGTCTTTAAGTACTATAGCAAATAATTAGATTGCACCGAGAAACAAGTTGAAAATGAATGCAATCCTTTCAACAGATAACTTATCCTTGCTTTACTCATTAGTTTATTGGATACTGAAATGTCCATTTAAACTACTTTGAAAAGTGTGTGTGTGTATATATATATGTATGTGTGTGTGTGTGTGTGTATATATATATATATGTGTGTGTGTGTGTGTGTGTGTGTGTGTGTGTGTGTGTGTGTGTGTGTG